GCAATCCCTCAGCCCAGCCAAACTGACCCATAAATTAACCATCACAGTTACTGAGGATTCTTGAGGGTTCCTTTAGGTTATAGATACAAACTCTTTGTTGAATATGTGATTTATACTGTCTCCCAAATCCCGAATTTGGCTTGTGTTTTCATACTCTTAACAGTCTTTTTCACAAATGTGAAAATATATGCTCAGTATATATATATATATATATATATATGCTGTGTGTATATATATATATATACATATATATATATATATTCTTTTATGCACTCTCTAAAGGTAATAAAGATTTTCTCCTATATTATCTGGCAAATTTTTATGGTTACATATTTTACATGTATATCTATGTTTAAGTTATCCATTTTGAATTAATTTTGTATAAAGTATGAGGATTCCACTGGGACTCCTTTCTTTTTTGCAAGTAAATTTCCAATTGTTCAAATAAATTACTGGAAAGGCTATACTTTTCCCACTAAAAACTCTTTGTCTCTTCATCAAAAATTGATTGCCTCCGTTGTACGAATCTGTCCTGATACTAATCTATTGGTCTGAACTAGTCTCCTCGCTGTAATACTGGCGATCCCTCCACCAGAACTGCAGCTGTAATTATTGCTGCCACTCGGTAATACAGTAAGTTGAAACCAGATGCTAGCAGAAGAGCTTCACTCTTCTTTCTCAAAAGTGTTTTGGTTGCTCTAATATTTTGATTCTCCATTTGAATTTAGAATCAGATTGTCTATATCTGTAAAAATTCTTCTGAGGCTTTGATTAGCATTATATTAAATTTATAGGTCAGTAGGGGTCCGGGAGATGGCTCAGTAAAATAAGTGCTTGCCTGGCAAGCGCAAGGGTCTGAATTCAATCCCTGGTTCCACAAAATTATTTATTTATTTATTTATAGGTCATTGATAATTGCAAGCTGTACTATACTGAGTTTTCTGGTCTGTGAACAGTGTATTTCTCCATTTATTTATGTTGGGGTTTTTTTTTTGCTTGTTTGTTTCATCTATTATTTGTAGTTTTCCATCTATAGACCCTTTGTCTATTGTTAGATTTAGAGTTAAGAATTTATGGAAGTACAGTATTATTTTTCTTTAAGTTTCCAGTTGCTCATTGTTATTACATAGAAATATGATATGACTTGGTGTGACCCTTTGTTTCTTGAAACTTTATTTAGTTCTCTTGCCCATTCTAGATTTGTTTAGCTTTGTAAATTATTTGATACATAATATCCTAATGTTTTCTCTTATCCCTTCTGTTTACTGGCAGTCCTAATATAGATAGATAGATAGATAGATAGATAGATAGATAGATAGATAGATAGAGAGATAGAGAGACAGAGAGACAGAGACAGACAGAGACAGAGACAAAGACAGAGAGGAAGCAAGGAAATAAAACTATCCCTATCCATAGGCAACATGATTATGTAGAAAATTCTGCAAATGTTTATGTTTCAGTTCATACGACTATATTGTTTATCCCCTTTATACTGATAATATGCCAGGCTGGTGGCACACATCTGTAATCCCAGCACTTAAGACACTGAGGCAGGAGGAGTGCTGCAAGTTTGAGGCCAGTTTGAACTACATAATAACAGCAAGGCCAGCTTGAACTACAGGGTGAGAGACTCAAAAATAAATTAATAGGGCCAGCAAGATAGCTCAGTGGACTAAAGCTCCTGCTTAGGCAAGTGCAGGGACCGTGGTTCCATCCCCAGTACCACATGTCAAGTCAGCCCTGCCTCCGGGGAGGGCTTAGTATGCCACAGAGTCCCAGTGTGGTGGCGTACGCCTATAATCCCAGCACTAGGGAGGATGAAAAATAGAAGCTCAGACTCACTAAGAGTTTGAGCTGCATAGTGAGAGTCTGTAACAACCTAATATATAAAAAATAATAATAATTAAGTCAATAATATGAGTCACAATGATTGATTTTCAAATATTGAAAATATTTCTCTGAAATAAAGCCCACTTAGTCATGGTGCGTGTGTGCATGTGTGATATATAATACATATTTTATATTTAGTATGTATCATTAAATTGGATTTACTAATATTTTGTTGATGATTTATTGGGTTTCTCTGTTTATGAGATGCAGATCTATAATTTTTTTTTTATTTTTACACTATCTTTGTCCAGCTTTGGTGTCAAAATATGCTAGTTACCTTTCTGCCACTATAGCAAAATATCTGAGGAATTCACTTATAAAAAAAAAAAAAAAGAAAGCACAAGGTCCTGAGTTCAATCCCCAGTACCGAAAAAAAAAAAAGGGGGGGTTATTCTGGCCCACATTTCTGAAGATTCCAGAACATTAAGGGCCTGCAAGATAGCTCAGCAGACTAAGTGCCTGCTTAGACAAGCACAGGGACCAGGGTTTGATCCCCAGCACCACATGCCACGCTGGCCCTGCCCCTGGGCACGCTAAGCCAGCCACCAAGAGTGGGCTTGGTGGTGCACACCTGTAATCCCAGCATGGGGGAGGCAGAAAAATGGGTGGATCACTACCAGTCTGAGCTGTATAGTGAGACCCTGCACCAAGTACATAAAATAAATAAATAATAAAAACCAGAACAAAATTACGTGGCCCCAGGGCTGGGAGATAGCTCGAGCATGTGTAAAGTCCTGAGTTTGATCCCCAGTACCACACAAAAAAGAAAAAAAAAAGTGTTAAGTGGTCCCATTTCTTTGGGCCTCTGGTGAGGGCAGAACATCATAGCAAAGTAGTTTCCCGAGAAAACCACTTATATCAGAGAGCAGAAAAGGAAGAAGAGGAAAAGACTGGAGTCCTTCAGTTCTCTGGAGCACAATGACTTAAGGATCTTCCAGAAGGTTCTACTCCTTAAAGGTCGACCACCTGCCACAGTGCCACCTGGAAATCACACCTTTAACACGTAGAACTTGGGGGCCACTCACTCAAACGATGGCACCACATCCCGTGTGTTGCCCTCATAAAATCAATTGGGAAATGTCCGTTCCTCTTCTATTTTATAGAATTGGTATTTATTTTTAAACTTTTTGGCTCAATTGTCCTAGTTAAACCATCTAAGAGGTTTTACCTACAAACTCAACTTGTAAAATAGCTGTAGGATAATTCAGGTGATTTAATTTATCCTGGATAAGTTTGGGTAATTTTGAGTTTTCAGAGAATTGACCCATTTCATCACATTAGTGTGTATATACTTGTTCGTGGCACTCCCCTATTATGTGTTCGTGTATCATGGGAAGCTCTAATGCAGAAATGGACCAGAAGAATCATCCCAATTTCAGTCAGTGACCAGGCCCTCACCCACTGACCTGCACCAGTCACTGGGGCTGACATCTGGAAGGGACCCACAAGATAGAAATGTCCAGATAGGAAGAGGGCTAGTCTATCCCAGACCCCTAACTTGGCCCCTTGTCATCATCTGGCCCCTGCCCTACCAGCATGTCACCAGAAGGGACTCTCAGAGCCAGCTCTCCTGAGCCAGCCCTTGTAGTGGAAGACAAGGCTAAGACCTCACCAGTGCCTGGTTCTGTGATAGCCTGGGGTTTGCTGCTCCAAGAGGGTAGGGATACCAGCAGAACGCCTTCTCCCCATCCCCATGCTGCAGAACCCCCCAGCTATCAGCCAGATAGGCAGGAAGATAAGTTCCAGCTTCCATCTGGGGCTCAACAGCAAGGTCAGAGGGGTCTGAGATGAGAAAGAGGACTTCGGTTACAGCTTATACATCCCTCCAAAGCCTCCTATGCTCCTAGGTGGGCAGTGCCTGGGATAGGAGTGTGGAGATACTGGATTAATCCCCTGACTGGTTTAGCATAGTTCTGGGTGTGGCTGAGTGGATTTACTGAAGACAGAAACCCCACCCTGCGTGTGGATGTCTCCAACCAATAGGCTTATAGCCTGGATGGAATAAAGACAGAAAAGGGAGCTCTCTGCTACTACTGCTGCTGCTGCCTGCCTGCCTGCCTGCCTGCCTGCCTGCCTGCCTGCCTGCCTGCCTGCCTTCCAACCGTTGACTTTTTCTCCTCTTGCCATGTGCCACACTGCCTTGAAGCCAGCCAACTATGGACTGAAATCTCTATAAACTGGAAGCTGAATAAGCCTTTTGTCCTTTAACTTGGGGTGTCAGGTATTTTGCCCCACTAAGGAGAAAGCAACTAAGACAACTTGGTTGAGATAAATAACTTCCATTTCAGGTCTCAAGATTCTGACTTAGTAATTGAATGACAGTGCAGTCCCAGCCAGGCAGGGAGACAGGGTCACAGGCTTGGCACGAGTATACTTCTGTCAATGTTAGGCATAAAGAGCCAGATGGGTGAACTCCTGGTGAGTGTCCTGCTATTTCTACGACCACCCCCAAGACTCCTTTGGTGCATAGTGGTGGGGAGAATGCCCCACTTTCATAGATCAAAAATGAGTGACATGTCACAGGACTGGCTATCTGTCCTCCCAACTTCCCTACCTACATCAGACTTTACTAATTGATCACAGTTCTTGCTCAGTTCAGACAATGAAGCCTTCTCAATACATGGCTTGAGACAACCCCACTGTCCTGGTTACTTTTCTCCTGTTGCTGGGACAAAATACCCAACACCAAAAATTAAAGAAGGAAAGGTTTATTTCACTCAAAGTTTAGTGGAGGTTTCACTCCATACTCAGCTGGCTCCAAGGCAGGGTGGCACATGGCAGAGGGCAGCCATTCATGATGGTAGAAAAATAGCAAAGAGCAAAGGAGGAGCAGCAGCTGCAGCAGCTAGCAAGCCTCTTTCCCTTCCTTATATTCTTACAGATTGCCGACCCCAGGACAGGAGTAGCACTCACACCCATGATCTCAGCATTAAATCATGAATTAGTCACAAACTCTAGAAACCACCTCAATAACTGCATGAGGCTTTGGATGACAACCAGATACGAACCATAACATCCTCTCAATTCCCCAGAGCTAGTATCTGAGATGCCAAGTATCTCCCACTATCTGCCCTGCCCACCTAGCTGGATACAGTCTGCAAAATCCCAGTTCACTGCTTTATTGGGAGGGGAATACACTCCGTCATAATGCAAGGCCCTGAGCCCAGCAAGATCTCCAGCTCGAGATGCAGCTCCCTGGTAGTGACTCGGTAGTGGCCCTTGATGAGACCCCGGGAAGTACAGGTGTGGCCCCTCCAGAAGGTCTGGATGACACGGACAGCACTGAGTACTTGGCAGTAGTGCTGGCGAGCACGCCACATGCGGACCCAGGACTGCAGTCTGACCGCTGCCTGCTCCTCTTTTAAAAATGTTTTCAGCATCTCATTCCGTCTCTTCTCCAAAAGCTTTGCCAGAATCGTCCGCCACCAGCACTGAATGACCCAGGCCCTGAGGGCCGCGTGCAGCAATGCCCGACGTACCAGGGTGCCCCGCCACCAGGCCTGGATCTTTATAGTTGACATCACTTTTGGGTCTTCTTGGGACTTGCAAAGAAAGAAGGGGGGCATTTAGAGGTTGCTGCCCATCCATTCAGCTTCAGGTGCCACAAAAGGCCCTGCTCTCCTGTCAACAGTGGCCCCTTCTGAAATGAAGGTGCGCTGGGCAGGGCACTGGCTCCTCTCCTCCCTTTGCTTCTTCCCCTGAGGTTTTCAGCTTCCACCAAAGGTCACCTTTTCCTCTTATTTATGATACAGGGGATTGAACGCAGGGCCTTCCCACTCAACTATATCCTCAGCCCTCTTTTATGTTTCATTTTGAAGCAAGGTCCTACTAAGTTACTAAATTGCCCAGACTGGCCTTGAACTTGCAGTCCTCCTGCCCTCAGCCTCCCAAAGCACTGGGATTACAGGTGCGGGCCCCACTCCTGGCTAAGAGCTGTCATCTTTCGTGGGTCTATTAACATCTTATGGCTGCTTCTCCTCCTGCAATCAGCAGGGAGGGGAGAAGTCAAGAGCAAGGCTACCTTTCTTCCCTCCCCATTCTGAGCCCGCCTGTGCCCAGTTTCAGGCTTCCCACACTCTTTAGAGGCCAGAGGGTCCCCTCATCCTGAGAGCAGTGGAGATTCCCCAACAAGCCCGGCATATCTGGCTTGCTTTTACCCACCATTGGTCACATGGAGGATGGATAGAGATGGTTCCAATCCCTTCGAGTCTTGTATTCCTCCAGCCATAGCATGAGCAGAGAGTGTGGGGAACTTGTGATGTCACAAGGGCAGGTGTGACTCGGGCACCAGGTGGTTCCCAGCACTTGAATCTCCCCTGAGAAAAGGGTTGCTTCTTTTCTACCATCCATGGCCAAAGCCCGGATTTCAAAGCCACAGCACTCAAAACACTGATGCACTGACATAAACGCATGGGGTCAGTCACTGATAATTAATTTTAAAATTTAGTCATCAATAAGGGATTGATTGCATAGTTTACAGCCCATTTGTACCTCCGAATGCTCTTAGCTATTTAAAAATGAGTTTGTGGGCTTCGGCCGAAAGGCCGCGGAGGAGGAGAGTGCAGCGCTGGGGGGCCGACTAGGGCTGCAGTGCACGGGAGCGCCACGGCTGGGTCAGTCGGCGAGCCGGAGTCTGGAGGCGCCACTGCAGAGCCCGGCGGCGAGTAGCACGTCGTCGGCGCCTCCAGTCGGGGCCTCCGCGGAGGGCGCGAGTGGGACCGCCCCGGCTCCAACTGCGGTCCTGCCGGCAAAAGCGGCCGCTCTTGGAGGAGGAACTTTTTTTTGGAACTTTTTTTTGGTCTCTGTTTTCTTCTAACTGGCTGGACCACTTTTTTTTTTTTTTGGTTTGTTTGTTTGTTTTTGGCGGAACCGGGGATCAAACTCAGGCCCTTGCGCTTGCCAGGGAAGCGCTTATTCCACTGAGCCATCTCCCCGGCCCCATGCTGGACCACTTTTGAAGAAGCTCTTGAAATGGCATCTCGTGGAGATAGTACCAAAGTGGATAAACTAGTGCGAGACATTTATGGAGGAGACTGTGAGAGGTTTGGATTTGCCAGGCTGGGCTGTGGCTTCGAGCTCCGGAAACGCGATGAGCAAGGAGAAGCGGGAGGCTGTCAGTAAGGAGGACCTCGCTAGAGCAACTTGGATTACCATCACCAACAACACTGGTTCCATAGCAAGAATGTGTGCTCTTAATGAAAACATTAACCAGGTGGTATTTGTTGGCAATCTCTTGAGGATTAATACCGTCGCCATGCGGCTTTTGACATATGCTCTGGATTACTGGTCCAAGGAGCAGTTGAAAGCTCTGTTTTCCAAACATGAGGGTTATCTTGGCGCCGTTGGAGCACTCCTTGAGCTGTTGAAGATTCCCTGATTGTTACCTGGAAGGGCTTCCTGGATCCTTCCATGATGAACATTGTGAACTTCGTTTTTTTTAAGAGACAGTTTTATGATTGTTTATTACCTGAATCAAAGTGAGAAATAAGGGTATTTTTTCTAAGTCATCAAGAAAAAAATTTAATCTAAACTAGCAACCAGTAAGCAAAAATACATTAAGAAACAAAGTGGACCATGTCCAGGCGTTGTGAGGATTTGCTGCGTTCAGGCTGCTCTTCAGTAGTCTTGTTAAGCTTGTGGCATGCTGTGAAACCTCAGCATCATTCCCTGCAGATGCTCCGGGACAGCTGTCTCGTGCTCCTGCGTTAGCAGAGTGGCTGAGTGCAAGTCAGGCTGCTGTGTGTCAGTCTTAACTGCAGTTTTACCAAAACGGCCTTGGAGATCATTGGTGTATTATGGGTTTGCATGTAGCCCTTGTGTGAGCATACTGAAGAACGGCTTACTTCAGGGTTCTGTGAACTTTTTTTTTTTTTTTTTT